TCCTCCTTGAGCGGGTGACGGCTGCCGGACGGTCCCTGCTCCAGGGGGCACACACCCGCACTCACCCAGACACCTGCCGGGAGCTTCCTCGTGGAGAAAGTCCTGCTGATGCTGCCCCTCTCCGACCAGGGGAAAGAAGCAGCTCTGTCCCAGTCATCGTCGCCAAGAACACGCTGCATCAATAAATAATCCTCCTCTCAGCCTGTGTTTCTCCCGGGCTCAGGTCAGCAAGCAGGCGGGAGGTCTGAGGTGTCCCACGCTGTGGCTCTCCTTGCCGGCCTGGGGGTTTTCCTCTGAGGCTTCACTGTACAACGAGAACAAGACCAGCTGCCTGGGTTGGATTGCTAAGTCCGAGTGAAGTGGCTTCAGTTTGCGTACTGGGGATGGGGAGGGATGGGGACCGGGCTGAGGGGGAGCCAAGGGTCATTCTTCACTGTCTGACTCCTGGAGAAGGCGGTGGATGTCCTGGAAGGAGGGACGATCTTTAGTGTCCCGTCTCCAGCAGCTGAGCATTAGCTTATAGACTGAGTCAGGGCAAAGTGCAGGCTGGGGAAGGTAGGTCTTGAAAACAAAAGGCAAAGATGACAAAGGGAGAGAGTTACTTCCACGGAAACCAACAAGCAAACCGCTCCTGGGGAGCCCACTTCTCTGCGCGCTGGGCATGGGGGTTGTGCTGCTGGGTGCTCAGGGGCAAGGGGACCCCCCACTACATAGTGCTGGGGCTGGAGCAACCGCGGAGGGGCTGGGGACACCTGCTCATGTACCCCAGCCTGGCTATGTGCCAGGAAGGGCTCAGCAGGCAAGCAGTGCCCTGGGCTGTGTAAAGTGCAGGAGGGTTTGCTGTGCTGGGTCCTTTGCCAGGACTGCTTTCCAGAGGATTTCCCACCCCATAACTTGCCTGTAGACAAGCTCCCCCCTATCTGGTCACCTTAAAGTCTTTCCCCAGGGTCCCTGGTGCACTGCTACTTGTCCCATCCAGTCCCATCCCGTCCCACCCATCCCATCCCGTCCCATCCCATCCCATCCCATGCCTTCCCATCTCTACCTGCCGGCCCTGGTCCCGGAAAAACTCGCCGGTGTTTTCGATGACCTGCTCGTCAGACAGCTGGGAGTAGGGCTGCTCCCGGCACAGCGTGAAGGTCTCCCACAGTGTCACGCCGAACGCCCACACGTCGCTGGCTGTTGTGAACTTGCCCTAGCCAGGGGGAGCAGAGCGGCATTGGGCACAGGCATTACCCCATTCTGCTCCATAAGCCCCACATGCCTGAGGTTCAAAACCTCTTTCTGGATGCTTCAGCTTCCAGGTCTGGGCACAGAGGGGGATTGATCCCTCAGACCTGGTCTGTGCCTGGGGCCAGACCCTGGTGAGCTCCAGATCCAGCTTGCAGTGACTGCTCTGAGAGCTTGGGGCGCCTGCAAAGCTAAAAAATAACCCTGCTCCTCTTGCAGGTCTGACCACAGCCAGGAGGGGATGTCAGGCATCCCACTCCATGGCTGGCCACTGGTACACCCATGATAACCACAGTCCTGCCTCAAAAAGCTGCTACTGCTCCCGCTTTCTGCATGCTTCACCCAAAACCTGGTCCCTTCTGCACTGCCAGGCCAGCCCTTGTCCAAGAGGCTGTGAGCGTCCCCAGCGACCCAGCAGTGCTTGTCAGAGGACCCCAGCCCCCCCGTACCAGCAGGATGCTCTCCCAGGACATCCACCGGATGGGGAGCACCGCCCGCCCCTGGATGCGGTAGTAGTCCCCGCTGTAGAGGTTCCTGCTCATGCCGAAGTCGGCGATCT